GTGTATGGTTGTAGTGTGTAATGCATGTGGCGTAAGTACGCTTGAGGCAGCCTTGGGAAGAGCAGCAGACCATCGCTCCCTAGGGAGAGAGGTAGCCCAGTTCACTGCTCATAGATAGGACACGCACAGGGTCCTTTCTGGCTGGAGCACACAGAGGAGTTCTGAGCTCCAGACGCTTTTGAAACCAGTCCAGCCTGAGTCTTCATCCCCACCCACGTTCAGGCCATTCCCAGTCTCCCTCTGTTCTACACGTCAGCCCTTTCTTCATCATTCCTGGAAGCTGCTCAGCTTGGTGGCATGTGTAGCACCAAATACCTTGATACCCTGATACTCTGTCCTGCCCTGCTATATAGCTCTTGGCCTCTCCTTACCTGGACATGCCTCTTTCACACAGATGGTGCTGTCTCTTCTTCTTGGGGTCCTGCAGTCCAGAATTTTTAAGACCGTTCATTCTGTTTTCATCTAATATAATATTCAGACCACCCAGAGAAGGTCCTTAAAACAGTATTTGCCATGATGGGTGTGGTCTAACAGCAGGTCTCATTCAGAGTCTGTCTTCCACAGCCATAGATAGCCTCATAAAGCCTTCTTTGTCTGATCCCTGTCACTGTATGAAGAGCTTCCTCAGTTCCAGGCCTTCTCCTCCTAAATAAGGAGTATGTAACCCTCAGCCATGGGCTGCAAGAACACACACATCTGTATTGTTTAACATTGACAAGAAACAGTGAAACTGAGTCACCAAAAAGTAATCTCATAATGTAAGTAAGTTTACAGGTTCGTATTAGGTCTCATTCATAGTTTTCTCAGGCACATGTGGCCTGCAGGCTGTAGTGGACTCTGAGGGACACTAGTGTCCTGCTGAGATGTCAGGGAGGCAACATGCTGAGGGGCCAGTTGGGAGCTGTGCTGATGAAGCATCAGGTCTGATAGGAGGACACAAGTAGCATCAGCTACTGTACTGGCCGGTTTTGTGTGTCAACTGACACAAGCTGGAGTTATCACTGAGAAAGGAATCTCCCTTGAGGAAATGCCGCCATGAGATCCAGCTGTAAGGCATTTTCTCAATCAGTGATCAAGGGTGGGAGGGCCCATTGTGGGTGGTGCCATCCCTGGGCTGGTAGTCTGGGGTTCTAAAAGAAAGCAAGCTGAGCAAGCCAGGGGAAGCAAGCCAGTAAGTAACATCCCTCCATGGCCTCTGCATCAGCTCCTGCCTCCAAGTTCCTGCCCCGTGTGAGTTCCTGTCCTGACTTCCTTTGGTGATGAACATCACTGTGGAAGTGTAAGCTGAATAAATTCTTTCCTCCCCAACTTGCTTTTTGGTCATGATGTTCTGTGCAGGAATAGAAACCCTGACAAGACAGTTAGTGAGAAGCCTGCTTGTCTGAAGGTGCCAAAAGGAGGGCTGCTCTGGCCAGTGTCCAGCACCCAGTAGAGGCAGAGGCTCTTGGTTTTCATTTGGCCCTTAGAACCCATGAAGTCCAGTCAGAACGTTGTGAAACTGTTCCAGGGAAAGGACCTAACGTCACTGATGTTTCTACATCTTACCCAAAGAATTACATGCTTTTCTGGGAAAACCAGGTCAGTAAATTAAAGCTTTAAACTTTTAAATTTAGGTAAAGTACAGTATTTTAAGACTTAAATTTTTCATCGTGGCAAAAGTAAAAATTGACCAACTAATGAAAGGAAGTGTGCTCCCATCAGACCCCTGAAGTGTGTTTCTGCTGCACTCAGGATGCAAAGGCCTGGCGTGGCCACCTGAAAGTATTCCTGCTGACCGTAGGTATGAGGTCAGTGTAACTTTGATCCTAGTAGCTAGGGCAGGACCCACGAACTCCATCCTGTCAGTGTGACCAGTCAGAGGATTAGAATCTGGGGTCTGTTGAGCCTGCCAGAGCTGAGGTAGCGGACCCGACATTGGAATTCTAGAAGCCAGGTCCTAAGAGGTTATGCCTGCCCTTACTTCCTACCCACCCTGGAAGTTGGTGGGGCAGCTTGAATCTTCTGTGCTGTGAACAGCCCCAGAGGATCACCGGTCACTGTCACTGGTATGTAGTGCCGTCTCCAGAAGATAGGACTATAGCTAGTGCCCTGAAGATCAGACAAACCACTTTACAGAGCTCTTCCCAATGACTCAAAACTGTGTGCCATGAGAGTTACCCAAGAGGTGAGCCTAGCATCTCCCACTTCCAAATAGCCATGAGTGTTTTCATACAGACAGAATTCTTACCCCCACCCTGATCCTGCCTATAGCTAGAGGTTAGAGTTAATGAGTTAGGCTAATCAAAGGTTTACTTATTTCTACTGGAAATGACTTCGATTGGAGAATTCTGGAAATAAAAGGATGACAAATGTCCTGTGACAGTTTATTTCTCCACTGTCAGTGAAATGAATCAATTCAAGCCAAATTAGATTATATTCAGGGCAGGTTTATTGGGAAGTTGCTCTTGGGTGGGCAAGTTCACTAGCCACAAGGACCAAAGCCAGGGAAGTAAGTCCCCATAGAGGAAGAGGAAGAAGAGGAGGAGGAGGAGGAAGAAGAGAGAATGAGAGACCCAAATGTCCAGATTATATAGAGAGGAGCCTCTAGGGGAAGGGCATCCCTGGACTGGAAAGTTCAGGGTTGGGGGCAGGATATGCCAGGTAGGGACTAAGGAATGTTGGGAGAACCTGGATACCAGGTCTACTTTGATATGTAAAATATGCACCTCAGTCCCTTTCCCTGGGGCCAGAAACCAGACATCCTATATTATTAACACAGTGACAGGCACACACCAAGTATCTGCTGCATGCCACATTCTTCCGACTCATTATAGTTTTGAAACTTACAATTTTCCATCTTATAGACAGGGAACTGAGGCACCCAGAGCAGAATGTCACACAGCTGAAAATGTTGGAGTTGGGATTCACATCTTAGCTGTCCTTTTACCCATTATTCCTTTCCAAATCCAAGAGGCAGAACTAAAATGACCACCATGAGAAAGGTGCTCACAGCACGGCCTGTCCAGTTACCCTGGCCCATGGTCTTCTGCTGGCTAAGCGGGTTCCTGCTCCTCACCTCCCGCTGGCTGGGCCCATCAGAGGCTTTCTGCAGAGTTCAGGGCTGTAAACCACCAGCATGTGACCTTTGTGAGGACAATGAACCCGAGAACTTGCTTCACACTATTGTTTGTGCTAAGTCCTTCTACTGAGGTACCAACTGTTCTTCCTGTGTCCTCAGACTCTCTTCCAGGCTTCAGGCTCACACGTGTGCCTGTACACGCCCTTCGAAATGCAACAGACCACAGCACAAGGTTTCTCTGTCTCCCTTAAAAATAAGATTACTACAGACTACATGAAACTCATGAAGAAGGAAAACGAAGTGTGGGTGCTTCGGTCCTTCTTAAGAGTAACAAAATATTCAAGGGAGCAAATATGGAGACAAAGTATGGGACAGAAACTGAAGGAGGGGCCGTCTAGAGACCATTCCACCTGGGTATCTATCCCACGTGCAGTCACCAAAGGTAGACACTGATGTGGATGCCAGGAAGTGCATGCTGACAGGAGCCTGATATAGCTGTCTCCTTAGAGGTCTGCCAGATCTGACATATACAGAGGCAGATGCTCACAGCTAACCATTGAACTGATTATGGGGTTACCAATGGAGGAGTTAGAGAGAAGACTGAAGGAGCTTAAAGGGTTTGAGACCCCATGAGGAAAGCAACAATACCAACCAACCCGAGCTCCCAGGGTCTAAACCATCAGCCTGGAAGCACATAGGGAGGGACCCATGGCTCCAGCTGTATATGAAAAGGAGGATGGCCTTTTAGGCATAGGTGGGAAAGGAGTTCCTTGGTCCCATGAAGGCTGGACGCCCAGGTGGGGGGGGGGGGAGTGTGGGGGGGGGTGGGGGTAGGGGGCGGGTGGGGGGGGGCACATCCTTATAGAAGCAGGAGGAAGGGGGATGGGTTGGGGGGTTCCGGGGGGGGGGGGGGGGGAATGGGGTAAGGGGTTAACATCTGAAATGCGAATAAAATATCCAATAAAAAAAATAAGATTACTGCCAGGATCCCTCTTCTCAAAGCCGTGTCTGGAGGATCTCTGCTTACACTTTCTTGCTTACCAACTATCAGACCTAAAGCTGTGTACACTTCCCAACAGCTATTGAAAGACCCCAAGAAAAGGCAATGGTCATCTCCTGTAACTACCTACTGAAACTATCTCTGAATTCACAGCACTCCAAGAAAATGATATAGGGTACCAGCGGCTACCAGATGTCATTCCTTCAGTCACAGGGCCACAAAGCATGCTATAGTCTGGAATAAGTCAGTAGAATACACCAGGTGAATCTGACGTTCAACAGATTAATGAGACTTATAACCACAAAAAGGCACAGTTCCAAAGACCTACTCCAGGAGGAGCATGAACCCCAGGCCCACTTTTAATAGTGAAAACTGCAAGCTTTGAAAAATCGCTGGTGCCCTAGCACTCCCTGCAGAAGCCAGCGTGCTTTGTTACTTTCTTTGAACTGAAAATATACTAACCTTCTTCTGAAAGCATTAATTTGATTGTATAAAGAACACTACTACTCCAGAGTGTGAGAACAGTACTGACAAACATTTTTAACTGGTATCCAAAATATATTTCTATGTAAACAAGGTTTTCCTTGAGCAAAGGTTGGGATAGTTGCTACACAAGAACATTGCTTGTTCTTAAATTGGGATTGTTGCACACCCCACAGGAGCCTTTTGGCTCAGGCAGCCTCTTAAAGTACTTAGAATCTGTAGCATATGGTAACAAATGGCAGAGGCAGAAGCAGGAGGTTCTTTCCGAGTTTCAGGTCAAGCAGGGTTACGGAGCCAAACTTTGTCTCAAGAGGTAAAGCTAGCTCTGTATTCCTTCTTCTTACACAGCTACAGGAATTGTAACAATTATTCTCCATCTGCAGCTCTGGGCTGATTAGATTTGAAGGATCTGGGCTACAATATGGGGAAAGCGGGTTCAACAAAGCCCTAAGGCCCACAGAATTTACAGAATGCTTTCGTTTATTTTTCTCTGATAAGGTGAAATGAATTTCCCATGGGCACTGCTTGAAGGAACGGCCTACATTTGTCGCTGTTTATGCTTGGGGTTGGTCTTACAGAGGACAAACCAGCGCCCGCGCCTCTTCACCATGTAGCAGTCTCTACAGCGCTTCTTGAGGACACCCTTGGTTTTGAAGCTCAGCGAGGGCTGCATGGACGGCAAGGGACGGCCACAGAGAAGTGAGCGCACCTCTGCGCAGGGTTTGGCGCTTGGCATCGTCCCCAGCAGGAATGAGAAGGCCCGGGGCTTCACCGCGAGGCGACTCAGGTGCAGGAACGGGTCCACTACCGAAGCCACCACGCTCCGTACAAGCAGGGCGGCCATGCTGAGCCCAGATCTAAGGGGAGAGAAGCATGGTCATCTGGTGCCGCACACCTGACTATCCCTAGGCCTTCCCCTATCAAGGTTACTTGGCGTCAGAAGTCAAAGCACACTTGCCAGGCTTGAACTCTGGGATCCGCGTCACCACGTGCCCGGGCCTGCGCGCTCCCGGGAAGCCGCAGATTCCAGAGGCTCAGCCCGGCCAGGGACCCCGCCCGCTCTCCCGGTCAGCAGCTCTGGCGCGCGCCTCTGCCTGCCTGCCCCCAAGGAACCCGAGACCCACACCTGGGAAGGGGTGCGGAGGCGTCCGCAATCAACTTCGGGCGCCGGTTACCGAAGCTTCCGCGTCTGCGCAGTGGAGTGGGACGGCACCGCCAGGAAGAAAGATGGCGTAGGGTCACGTGGGATTACAAGTGCCCTGCCGAGGACGCCTAAGGAGCAGCTTCCGGAGATAAAGCCTTCCTTGTCTCCGCATTCTTTATCCAGAATCCTGCACTCTAAGCTCTGCCTCTGCAGATGCTGGGACCACTACGTATTGGGAAGAACGGTGCCCATGGCAGAAGAAGGGAAAAAAAAGACAAAAAAAAATAAATAAAAAAGCAGGCTTTGACTGTAAAAGAAACTGCCAACAGTAAATATATTGGAAACAAAACCCAGCATTCAGACAAAATGTACAGGTCATATGTTTCCATTAAGAGACATTCTGGCACACGTGGGAAAGGCCAGAAGAGCCAGTGCAGACACTGTTCTAGCTAGTTAGTTAAGTCCCTACCTGCAAACTATGAAAAGCAACAGGGGTGTGGAAAATCAGGGTTAATTCCGTGCGTGCGTGCGTGCGTGTGTGTGTAAATTCCCATATATATGGCTTTTACAGTTAACTTATATATATCGGATTTCAGATGGTTCGTAAATCTACCCATCTTATTTTTATGTATAGCAAAGTAGGTTGCCAGTAAGGGTACCGTAGCCCTCTCTGGCTCCCAGTCTCACACATCACACTAAGCTCACTCAGTCCATCTTAGTGCCTATGGGAATACCTTGACCCCAGAGTTCTATCACTTTAAAAATAATGTGTGTCAGAGAGATGGCCTGGGAGTCACAAGTGCTTGCCATGCAAGTCTGCGGACCTCAGTTCCCCGGAACTCACATGGGAAAAGAGATCAGCTTCCTCCAACTTTCATGTGTGTTCTGCGGCACCAGAGTGTGAACTCACATGTGTGTGAACACATACACAGACAGGGGGTGTGTTAAGAGTTTAAAAAGAGATTCCTCAACTGCTGCTCTTACAGAGGACCATCATTCTGTTCCCAGCACCCACACAACTGCTTAAACGGTCTGTAACTCGACCTGTCAGGAGATCCTGTGCCCTTTTCTTGGTTCCAGCTACCCACACAGATGGACATACATAAATATATACACTCATACATATAAAATAAATCCTTTAAAAAGAGGGAGAAAGAGACAAATCTGCAGAACAGGGTGTGGTGACATAAGCCTGAAATCCTAGCACTCCAAAGGCTGAGGCAGGAAGGTGGTGAGTGCTAGGTTAGCCTGGGCTACAGAGCTTAAGGCTAGCCTGGGCATCTTAGGTCCACATTTATTGGGGCATTTTTCAACTTTGTGTGGTTTTTGTCCATGTGTCTTATGGCCCTCTCTGGTCACCCCTTTGCCTTCAGACTCACCTAGTCCTTATGCTATGGCAGAGCACAGAAAGGGAGATGCCAGGTCATTAACCTCCAATCCTGACCAAGGGATCCTAAAAACAACACATGCTAGCTTCTGGTACTTTCTAGGAATTAGTGACCCACTCCTGCTCTGAGTCTGAAGTCCCACCTGTCTACTTCTGAGCAAAGCTGTTCACTCTACTTTGAGGTCTGACAGTGCCTGTTCTGAGGACGGTTCTGACTCAGATTCAAATGAGACAGACGTGGCCAACACATTCTCCAGAGTTACAGGCTCCGATTTGCATCAGGTCTCTCTACATAGCAGAGCTTTTCCGGACTGCTTTCCCATGCTGGGTAAAATCCCTTGCATGCAGTCTAACTGGAAACTCTACTACTGCTGCGTTGCAAAGATGCTCAGAAATCTTCCTTTCCCACCCCAACATACACGACCAGAAACGTTCACTGCATGTGCTGTTTCTTCTGCTGAACAACTTACTTCTTTACTCCAAAAAAAAAAACCACCAACAAACAAACAAACAAACAAAACCAAAAAAAAACCCACCAACAACAAAAAAACACGGTAAATCTGCATTTTCTCCATTGGCATAAACGTACACACAGCTCATCTCCAGTTTTCGTCCCCCACTGCCTTTGTCACACTAGTAACCTTTGAACACCGCGCACAGTTAAGTCGCAGCTCTGTGTCTCAGCCAGGTCCAGCACCTGCCCTGCCAGCCGCCCAGCGGCTCAGCCACAGGACGAAATAAGTTCCTCAAGTACTCCCGGCCGAGTGCTGTGCGCCTGCGCCGGCGCTTTGTACGACGCGTGGGGTCAAGGGTCACCGGCAAGATGGCGGCGGCACTGACCTTCCGCCGGCTGTTGGCTCTGCCTAGGGCCGCGCGGGGTTTCGGGGTGCGAGTGTCGCCGAGCGGGGAGAAGATCACGCATACCGGCCAGGTAACGGCCGCGCCCGCCATACCTGGAACCCAAGACTGACGGTAGCAGGGAGCGTAGCAAGGTGTGCTTCTGCCAGGCTAGCTCGCGGCCCTACTGGGCTCACCTTGGGGTGCAGCCCGATTTCTAACTGGTGGCTTTCTGTTGGGACTGGGATCTAATTATTCTTTACGCCATATCTTTATATTAAGTTCCAAGTTTTAACAATAGTTGTGTTTTGGACCCCGGGACAAGAGACTGAGGTGCATATTTTACATATCAAAGCAGACCTGGCATCCAGGTTTGCCCAGCATTCTTTAGTCCCTACCGTGGCTCTAATCCTGAACCTTCCAGCCCAGGGGCTGGGCTGCCCTTCCACCAGAGGCTCCTCCCTATACAATCTAGACATTTTGGTTTCTCCCGCTCTGTCTTTTTCTCCTTTCCTTGAGCATACGCCCTTTCTCTCTCCCTCTACCCCCTCCCGTCCCCATGGAGACTCCTCTGGCCTCAATCCTTGGGGCTAGTGAACTCACCTGAGAGCAGCTTCCCAGTAAACCTGCCTTTAATATAATCTAATCTGGCTTGGATTGGCTCATTTCACCGGTGGAGAAATAACCTATCAATAGTGTATAAAGCAACCGTAGCGTTCAATATAATGCTGGACCAAAAAGTGGGAAGCTGCGTCTGCTGAAATGAAATCTCGCCTATTGGAGTTGGCTACTTGTGAAGGCAGGAGCTTTGTCTCCAGTCTGCACTCGAGTCTATCATCCCCATGAGACTGTTCACTTTGCCTCATAGTGGGTCTGTCTCCTCATCCATGGGTGTAGGCCAAGGGGAACGTCGTTCTGTAGTATTTCCGATCAATATTATGTGACTTCATTTAGAATTCGACTGTAAAAATAATAGATGGCCCTCTTTTTTTTTTTTTTTTTTTTTTTGCAGGTGTATGATGAAAAAGACTACAGGAGGATTCGTTTTGTAGATCGTCAGAAAGAGGTAAGTGAAAGAGATAAGAATTCGTAAAACTTAAAACAGGCTGAACAACTCTAATGCCGGAAGTGTATTGAGCACTGATATTACCACAGTGAATTCTGCACCCGGCTTGGGTGGTGGATTGTAATGGAAACACAGGCACAATGGAGGCATTGCTCTGTGTAAAGTATAAAGAAACAAGTGGGTTTCATGTTTATATTTGGGCCCATCTTGGAGGTAGCTTGTGTACCTCAAAGGTATTTGAGCTTTGAAGTAGCTCAAATATGCATATGTCTGCATATTTGAGGGTATTTCCACATCCTCATTGCTGGTCCCAGGCTCCTCATGGAAGTGGTACTTAGCATGTACCAGCTTAACACAGAAGGGCTAAAGAAATTCTCACATATCACAACCACTCTAGAAAACCCAGAGTCCTAAATATAAATTATGTCAACTTTTCTCCCTCTCCTCTCAGACTACAGAGCCTCCTGGAATGGTAGTTCAGGTTTTCCTAAGCATAATCTTGTTTCCAGCATGGTACTTGTCATAACGTCATTTATTGCTGTGATAAAACACCACGACCCAAAGCAGCTTGGGGACAAAAGGGTTTCATTTTATAACTCTCAGGTCAAGTTCCTGAGGGAAGTGAGAGCAGGAACTTGAGTCAGGGACTGAAGCAGAGGCCATGGAGGAGTGCTGCTTACTGGCTTACTCTCCATGTTTTGCTCAGCCTGATTTCTTATGGCACCTAGACCACCACCCAGTCCGGGGGTGGCATTGCCCACAGTGAGCTAGGCCCATCAATTAGCCAAGAAAATGCCCCACAGACTTGCCTCAGGCTAATTATGTGGAGGCACTTTCAATTAAGAGTTCTCCCTAGATGACCCTGGAGTATGTCAAATTGACGTAAAACTAGCTAGCACAATATCTTTTAAAAATTTTTTAATATGTCTTAAATTAAAGGAAGACATACTATTAAAATTTTCTCTTCTGATAATTTTTTTGAGGTAAAATTTTTTGTAGTTTTCATCAAGTTAATTGTGCTATGCTCTCCCAGGGGTAACCAGTAGATTCAGTCTCCCACACAGGGAAAGGTCATTTAGTTTAGACACATGTAACTATCCTGCTAGGGAAAGAATAGAAAGCTGAGATCTCTGCCTATGTAGCCTAAGTTTCTCTGTAACATTTGCGTCTACAGCTCCTGATTTGTTCCTTGTAATATGGTAGTTCACGGTCTGTCCTCTGTGGTTCCAGAATTGTTTGCCTTCCATGTCTACCTTCAGTCATGCTCTTTACCTCTACAGTCAACTTGGTTTTTTTTTGTTCTACCATACTCTAGATCTGAGTTCCCCTGCCCTCTCTGATCTTGGCTACATTGTCCCAGTGCCTAGTTTTTGAGTTCTATGTAGCAGACTCACTTGCTATGCATTAGTTATCCGTGAGGTCACATTTTCAAGTTTCAGCCAGAATCCTGCTGTGCCTAATGAACAAGAGGCACAGAAATTTGTATTCTCCCCTTGCTTTTACTGCTTGGATGTAAGAAGGATCCTGAAGTCTACTCCGGGTTCAGTGAAAGAATGCTGGGATTGGTTCTAATGTCTACCAGGAGAGAGGGAGAGAATACATGAATATGAATTTGTCTGCCTGCGTGTGTGTGTGTGTGGGGGGGGTGGTGGTGCCTGCAGTAAGTGGGTGGAAGTTGGTGAACTTACACGCTAGCTTCATTTCTGGGTGAGTAGCATAGGCTGCTACTTCTCAAGTCCAGTTTTCCCATTTGCAACTTTGAGTGTTTTCATAGTATTTGTCACTTATAGGTGTCCAGGAGATGGATTGCCTTAGGAA